GAGCAACTTCTATACAACGAAAGGAGACTGTGATCACACAAAAGGCCATACCATCTTGGTCTTCATTTCTTCACATAAAAATAATAATTACCTAAGAAAAGGCCGCTAGTCTCAAAAGTCATTAATGCTCAATATTAGCTTTGTTCACTCTATTTCGTTTAAGGTGATGAAGAGTTGGTAGTGTTATTTTCACACAATGATATAAGTAGCTCTTTCTATTTGAATTCCATATAGCCTTGCTGTCCCAAAAGGTACTCATCTACAGTGGATTGTTTTTTGGACCTCGCTTAGTCTTATCAACTTCTCCAGAGGGACTCGAACCCGGCAGTACAGCGTGTAATAACAACACGTTAATCACTTCATCACATTGTCATTAGTGCCCTTTGATCACAGGTCAGATGTAATTTTTTAAGAAAGGCCAGACATTTTACATGCTTTAGTAGGATTGTCGATGAAGCAAACTTATATTTGCTAGAGTAATCGACGACATTACTTACATTTCGCTTTGAGTAGGTTGTCAAAACTACCAATAAATAAGATATATGAGCGTGAAACGAAATAGGCCCAACACAACTCGTATATCTGATTTACCGTTAGTCTCGAAAATCTACGCAAATATAAGTTTGCTTCATCGAAAATCCCAATACAGAATGTGATATGTAAAAATGCCTGAACTTCACTGAAATTTACATCTTCCCTGTGACTCAAGTGCATTCGTAGCAATGTGGATTAGGGGTTAACGCATCATGAATATACGCTACACTGTAATGGTTCGAGTTAATTGCTGGAAGTGTTGATAGGACCTAGGCTAGGTCTAAATTGCTGTTCACCCTGGATGATAATACTTATTGGAGAAGCAAGGCTGTGAAATTCAATGAAAATGTCATGTCCACTTTTGTTGTTGGAAAATTCAACTACCAGCCTTTCATCATCGTAAACGAAATAGGGTGAACACAGCTCACATATTTGATTTACTGGTAGTCTCAAAAACCTATTCAAAAGGAAATAATGCTCAATATATGCCATAATATTAAATTAGACGATTTAAAGGAAGTAGATTCAGAACTAAAGCCTTATTAAGTGATAAATAAAAGGAGAGTAGGTAGAGAAATGGGAATAATTTTTAATAAAATTCACTGAAAATGGAATGATTGATATGAAAAAGTGGAAGGTTCTTTAAAATAGGTTTACCTACGACAAGCCAATAAATGAACCGAGTGATCGAATCAAAGAAAGTATTCGAAATATTCCCCAGGGAAATCAACCACCAAGTAGTGGAAAGTTTATCTAAAGCACAGAGGCCTCGTGAAGCATACAAAATGCACAAAAAACTAGAATGACTCAAAGTAAAAACAAAAATGTCCAATCTTATGAAGTCTATTTGCAAAAAACTCATCAAAGAATCTAAGTATTGATATAACATTGATTTTTATGATTTTTTTTTGTAAAAGGCTACTTGTAAATATGAACTAATTAGAAGAAAGCCAAGGCAACCCTAGACTAGGGAAGGAGATTGTAGCCAAACTACAAGCCACAGCATATGGATCTTCATATACGCCGTTTATTTAATGCTAATTAAAAGACTTTATGAACACGTTCTGGCTTTCAACGAGGTGCTGTCCTTCACCTAAAAAAGGGAAACCAAATCATCTTTACATATGAAGATTAAGATGGTCGCAGTCTCCTTTCAATGTATAGAAGTGGGTTGACGTCGCTTTCGAAACTTGGTCATGTAAAGGAAACTTAGTTGTATCCACCTCGCTTGAAGTCGTCTGCTAGAGTAGTTATCATAATTCCCAGCGTCGGACCATGCACTTGGTACATTATCAGATGTTTCACCGGCCTCGTTAGTGAGACAAATCTTTATGAAGAGTCGTAGCTTGGTGCTGAAAATGTCAAGACCCGCTGACGGTGCATGCGAAACATCTGATAATGTAAGAA